CAATCTTCCGCGCTCAACCCCAAAATCAACTGAATGTCGCAGCTTTAGGGGAGAATGACCAGTGCTGGGTGTCCCTTCGCTCTGGGTTACGAAATTTTGGGACACATTAATCAACCATTCAATTCCGGTGTCTTTGAGCATTGTCTTCTCCTTATTCTAAAATCTATGATACTGGCAATGCTTTTAGAAATTTCAACAACTTCATAAAACATGAACTGCTACTGCCAGCACTTATTTGAATTATATTTAAATATCAACAAATTAAAACAAAAACAGAGAAAGGAAAAAAAAAAATGAAATAAAAAAATAATTACAATTTAGATACTGTATGCAGCAGCCTTTATCAAGCAAGCAATGAGAAAAACAAATAAAAATAAACATGCAACTCTTGATATTCCTGGATCACATTTATGTCCAATAATATAAAAATACAGTATGCAAGTGATTCTGATTGTCAGAGTGTGTTGTGTTTGTGTGTTTGTGTGTGTGTGTGTGTGTGTGTGTGTGTGTGTGTGTGTGTGTGTGTGTGTGTGTGTGTGTGTGTGTGTGTGTGATAGCGTGTGTGATAGCGTGTGTGTGTGTGTGTGTGTGTGTGTGTGTGTGTGTGTGTGTGTGTGTGTGTGTGAAATTGTATGTATGTACGAGATTCTATGCATTTGTGATTGTTTGCATGTGTGCATGTCTGTATATATGTGTAATTGTCTGTCTGTAGGAATGTGTGAGTGAGTGTGAGTGTGAGTGTGCATGCACAGATGTGTGAATATAGGTGTGAGTATGTGTGTGTGTGTATATAAGTACATATTAAACTTTAAAGCTGCATATACAAATCCCTAAGCAAAATTCTGAAAACTGCAATTGCATACAAGTAACACAATAATGCAAATACTGAAGTACATAAAAAAAACAAAACATAAATTCACATCCCTTACTAAATATCAGATGAGTGATTAAGGTGACCTTATGTACAATACTCCCTTGAGGTTCTACTGACCGCACAATCACCAATCCAATTTCCAGGCTAGGACAAATGGGTGTTAATGCACACAAAACACATTCAAAGCAGGATATACGGACATTCATAAAAAAACTGAAAATAAAAGCAATAACTAACGATGAACAAAACAAGTAGAAGAAAATTACACGCAAGTTAATGGAACACAAGGTAAGGAGATGCACACACAAAGAACAAAAGACGGAAGATTATACAATAACGTTGAATAGAGACCAGGGCATCACACTGACATAATGGAGAGTGCAGTAAATGGAAACCTTTTTGGGGAAACAAACAGTGGACGGAAGGCACTATGAAGGGCACCATGTATGCTGGCATATGAGGTAGCTTGCCGTAAAAGACAATTGTGTAAAATTTCCATTTCAAACCTAATGGAGTGATCCAGTTATACTATGAGACCAATAATAACTTCTAGGTCTCTGAACATGCCTATATATATATATATATATATATATATATATATATATATATATATATATATATATATATATATATATATATATATACATATATATATATATATATATATATATATATATATATATATATATATATATATATATATATATATATTTATATATATATACAGATAGTCCCCTACCTAAGAACATTCTACTTATGAACATTCCATACATACGAACAAAAATTTTTAAATACTAAAGTCCAAAAGATTGTTTGAAAGACGCTAGCAAACTTCAAATTTCCCGGGCGCGAATATAGTTCACGAGTCTGCCACGCCCTGGCGCTGCCAAGCTCACTCAGCTGTGCACATCACTTGCCTCAGTCGCCTGCCATCACCACTACAATATATTTTCTTTTTGAATAATTTATGTTTCTACAGTTGTATGAATCACCATCAAATAATATTAAAAGCATTACATATTACAGGTATTGGGATTTATTTACAGGTATTCTTAATGTAAAAAAACTTTAAAACAATGGGAAAAAAGGTTATGGAGACCCGACTTTTGACATACAAACAAATCGACTTACAAACAGCCTCTCAGTCCCCATTATGTTCTTAAGTTGGGGACTTACTGTATATATATATATATAATTATGTGTATATATATATATGTATATATGTATTTGTGAATATGTATATGATTATGTATATACATATATACATATATACATATACATATATATATATATGCATGTATGTATGTATATATATATATATATATATATATATATATATATATATATATATATATATATATATATATATATATACACATATATACATATACATATACATACATACACATATGCATATAAATGTATATACATGTATGTATGTATGTAAGTATATGTATATATATACACATATCTTTACAATGATACTATAACTAAAAAAACAAACAAACTGAGCTTGTTCTCCCAAAGTCTAAATGTGGTTTCCTGCTTTTCTAAAAGGGTTGACCACTGTACTTAAACTGGGTTGCGCGACCTCGCACTTAGGCTTCCGGGATGTTTCGAGCCCTT